AGATGCTCCCAAAGCTCTGACGGACTCATCCCGACCCCACCACGGAGAGGACACGGAGCAGCACAAGGTTTTTTCAAATGTGTTTTGGTTTTTTTTTTAGTTTTTTGGTCTTTTTTTTTTTTTTCTTTTTATTGGCATAAATAATTCATACACTGTCACCTCACCAAACACTGCACGAGAAACCACGGGAACAAATGGCTATCCAGGTCTGCAGGTCCCAGAGATTCGCACCCAGCCAGACAGCGGAAATTAGAAATTACTTTCTTCAAGTGTAGAAAACGTTAGAAATGTTCCTGTACAAATTTACAGCGGGGAGAATCCATCGTGCCTTTCTCAGAAATTCCTTTTTTTTTGGTTTTTTTTTTTAGTTTTTCTCAGTAGTTTGTGGGGGTGATTTATATTTTTATTTCTCACCAGCTTCTTTTTTTCCGGAGGTGTCTTTTTTTTTTTTTTTTGCAACGACGACAACAAAATATATATATATATATATTTATATTTATATATATATTTATAAAAAGAAAAAAAAGGGGGTGGAGGGAGGAAAAGGGGAACTGAAAATCAGCTCATTCTGCAAACTACCACGGAGAAAACGAAGCAGGCCAGCGAGTTCAGTTGGAAACTGTACAAGATTGAGGTCTGTATATATCTATATACATACATATAGAGATATGTATATATATCCATATATACCTTATGTACAAGGCAATGAAATATGGGAATTTACAGGGACCTGAAATTAAAGGCAGCGCTCGCAGCTGACCAAGCTTCACCCCCCCCAAAGAGTTTCTGTTGGCAACGAAAATAGATAAATTCAAATAAATTCACAGAAAGTCAAATAAACTTAAATAAATTCATAGAAATTCGATGAAATTCAAATAATTTAAAATAAATAAAGGGTGAAAAAAGGAGGAAGGGCTTGATTCAGGGCACTTGGGGGGTAGAGAGGGGCTCAGCACAGAGCCCTTCTCCGAGTTCCAGGCACCAGCTCTTCCATAGAATCCTAAATTGGCACAGGGAGGGGTTGGGCTGGGTGTTGGGAGGGGATTTTTCCTGGTAAGGACAGGCACAGGTGCCCAGAGCAGCTGTGGCTGCCCCTGGATCCCTGGCAGTGCCCAAGGCGAGGGGCTTGGAGCAGCCTGGGGTGGGGAAATGTCCCTATCCATGAGGTTTGAGTTCCCTTCCAACCCAAACCATTCCATAATTCCATGCTCTGGGAAAGGCTGAGCAGCCCCTCCACCTCCAAGATATTCATTTGTGCCTCCATCCATCCCAAACCTGCACCATCCCAGCTCCTGCCACAGCCAAGGACTGGATAAAAGTCATGGGGACCAAACTCTGAGCTCGTCATTCCCAGAAATCGCCCGGTCAGGGCTCAGCGAGGACTTGGGAATTAGTGGGGAAAAGGGAAATAGAAGGAAAAACCAGAGCAGGGAATATCCTTCAGCAGGCAAAGGAGCACACAGAGCTTTGGGGCCACCTCTGGGAGAGTCCACACAGCCCAGCCCCAAACGTGGGGCTGGAAAAATGCTGGAAAAATCCTCAGGCAGCAGCAAAGTCAGGGAGCTCTGGGAAGAGAGGGGAAGGTGATGGGAGGATGGAGCAGCAGGGCTGGGCCAGGAGAGCATCCCTGGGCTGTGAGAGCATCCCTGGGGCTGGGGGCAGCTCCTGCATCTCAAAGGCAGCTGAGCCCAGCTAAGCCCAGCCTGGCTGGAAATAGCCCTGGCTCTGGATGGACCCTCTCATCCTTCAGAGCTCCCATTAGAAACTATTGTGGAGAGCTTTTCCTGCATTCCCTCCCTGCTGAAGTGCTGGATATTTATAAACTGGGCCAAAGTTAAAAAAAAATAAATATCCTTCACAAAGGCAGAGTGAAAAAACCCCAACCAACAACAGCAACAACAAGATTTGTTGGTTTGGTTGGTGGGTGGGGTTTTGTTTGAATAATGAAGACTTCAAAATTAAGGAGGAATGATGGGAATAATGTGGCAGCCTGGACAACTGCAATGGAAGGGAAGGAGCTGCTCCTCGGAGCTCCTTTGGGGTAAATTCAGGACAATTGCTGCCATTGTGCTGTGCCTGTGGCTGAGACACCACAGCGAGGGGAGAGGGGAGGAAGAGGCTGGAGAGGAGGGAGAGGTTGGCTGTAGGAATATTTAGTTTCTTTTAGTTTCTTCCTGATATTTCGTTTTTTCCAGATGCCCAAAATTCAGTGGAGAAGGGTGAGGCCAAGGGGGAATGAGGCAGGACGAGGGGAATGGCTTGAAAGTGAAAGAAGGCAGAGTTAAATGGGCTATTAGGATGAATTGTTCCCTGGGAAGGTGGGGAGGGGCTGAGATTGAATTCCCAGAGCAGCTGTGGCTGCCCCTGGATCCCTGGCAGTGTCCCAGGCCAGGCTGGACAGGGTTTGGAGCACCCTGGGACAATGGAAGGTGTCCCTGCCATGGCAGGGGTGGGATGGGATGGGATTTGAGGTCCTTCCCACCCAACCATTCCATGGTTCTGTGGCTGAGGCTGCAGCCCAGGGAGGCCCTGACACCCAGCACCCCTCAGTTCATCGTTCCCTCCACTCCTGGCCACAAAATCCATCAGGAATCTGCCAGCAGCTGGGAGACCCCACGGGGGACACCAAGGTGAGGACTTGGGACACGAGGAGCAAACCCACAATGACCCAAGAGAGACCTCGTCCCTTCCACCACACAACATCCATCACACCAGTGATGGGCACCACCCTGGGGTCACCTTCCTCCTCCTCCTCCCAACACCTTCCCCTGACTCCTGCTCCCCTGGGAATCCACCCACACCCGCTCAGAACCAAAACCCACAGAGCCAGCAGGACCCCTGCTCCCTCTGGATGGGGTTTGGGGATGGTGACACCTCCCTGTCCCCAAAACTTCTGGAGAGGGGATTTGTGCCTGCCCCAGAGGCTGGAAGCAGCAAAGGTGAAGGCATTGGTGAGAGATCAGAGGGACCCCAAGGTTTTAGTGCAAGGTTGGTGGCACAGGCGTGCAGAGGGACACCTGGGGGGACAGGGACACCTGAGAATGAGCAGGGACAGCCCAGGCCATGGGTGCTGCAGGCTGGGCTGGGGTGAAAGGCAGGGAAGAGCTGGGATGAGAAGCTGGGATGAGCCCTGACTCAGGAACCCCTGATTTGCTGCTGGAGCAGGGAGCAATTAACCCAAACGAGGGCTCAGCCCCTACAGTCATCCTGCCCCATCCCAGCTCCCTGCGCTGCCTCCCATCCCAAAAACATCACCAGGAAACTCCTCCAGATCCTTTCGGGGGCTGGATCCACCCCTCCCTGCTCCTGCCCACCCTGGAATTCTCACACGTGCACGCATGGGGATTTTAATACCCCCACAATTAAAATCCCATTTCATCCCAGCTGCAATTAAGTTTCTAATGTTCATTTACTTATGCTAAAGCACTCCCAGCACCAGCGAGGAGGAGCTGGAGCAGCAGCCAGACAAAGCAGGGCTGGCTAGGTTTGCAAAGCCTCGTCACGGCTCCAAATTAAAGCGAACTGAGACTACAATTGAATTATCTGGGATGGTTCCTGTCAAGCAATTATGCTGCATGAGAGCCTGGGAATGCAATTTGCTCTCATCTGACAGCTCATCCGAGGGGCTGGAGGGCCCATCCGAGCTGAGAGGGGGGAGAGGGAAACACCAGCACGTGGAATTCAGGTGGAAACAGCAGCTCCCAGGGAGAATTTTTGGGGAAACTCTGTGATTTGGCTGATGGGAGATGAGGGAAACCATCCTGGGTGGCTGAGATGTCCCAGAGCGGGGCTGGGAGCTGCTCTGTACAACCAGAGCCTGCCTGCATTCCCAGCTGCAGGAATGAGCCACAGGAGAGGGGAAGGATCCCAATTCCAGCTGATGCCCAGCCCCAGAGTGTCACAGACATCTTCTATGGAAAATCCTTTCCTTAGGATTTTTCCTCCTGAGAAGCTGGGAGGCCTCAGGAACAAAATGTAAACGTTGATTATCTGCTGCTGTGGAATGCAACAGGTGCATCTGTGATTGGTCTCATGTGGTTGTTTCTAATTAATGGCCAATCACAGTCTCATGGCTCAGACTCTGTCTGAGACAGAAGCTTTTGTTATCATTCTTTGCTATTCTGTTCTATTCTTAGCTGGCCTTCTGATGAGAACCTTTTCTTCTATTTTTTTAGTATAGTTTTAATGTAATATATATCATAAAACAATAAATCAAGCCTTCTGAAACATGGAGTCAGATCCTCGTCTCTTCCCCAATCTGAAAACCCCTGTGAACACCGTGACACCAGAGCAGCCCCAAACCCGGGATTTGGGGAATGAGGAGCAAAGGCAGGAGCAGGGCAGGGATGGAGAGCGAGAGGGCAGCGCCGGCTGATGAATTAACGGGATAAATTAACGGGAATGAGGAGACAGATAAATTACCGGGAACGCGGAGCCGTGTCCCGCTGGCAGGGAGACCCGCGGGGGGACACGTAAGAGGGAGAGAAGCCACTTGTGAAAGGTCAGCGCTGCCCACGGAGGGGCTGCGGGGGCAGCGGGACAGATGCATTTCCCCGCGGGGAGCAGCTAATGGCAGCGGCACTCCCTGGCCCCGCAGGATCCGGGCACAAACTCATGAATCAGCGACGTTCCCCCTTCTTTCATGACAAAACCGCAAAGAAATAAATAAAGGGAATTAAAGAAACCCGCAGAGAGCCGAGAACGAGCCCTCCCCAGCCGAGCATCGTCGTGAGCGCTGGATGGGGATCAGAGGAGCCCTGGGGGGATAAACTGAAGTCATTGTCCTGTGGGTCGGGGTTCTGTCCCCAGAGCCACCGGCTGGGCACGGAGAGCCGCCCGCTGTCCCCATCCCACCGCAGCCGGGGCTGCTGCGGCTCCCGGGGGATTCCCGGGATGCAGAAACGCCGCGGGGGAAGATCCCGGTCCCGGGGGATTCCCGGGATGCAGAAACGCCCCGGGGGAAGATCCCGGTCCCGGTCCCGGCTCGCTGTCGGCCCCGCTGCTCCTCCATAGCGCAGGGTGGGAAGCGGAGAGGAACAGGAGACCCGCTGGGGGAGGAAGGCACCGTCCCACAACTCCTCCCGTCACAGCCTGGAGGAGACACAAGGAGCAGAGTCAGCCCTGGGGAACGTGGAGGTTTGCGGGGAAAATATTTGGGAAAAATCCCTCCTGGAAGAGCTTTGCCACGGAGCTGATCCCTAAACCACCGGGAGAAACCCCCGTTAGGAAAATTAATCCACAAACAGCAGAGGTTTATGTCCGAAAAGGAGACAGAGGAATCCTTTCTGGCTTTATTCCAATAAAGGGAGAGGCCATGGGGCATTCCTGTGGAGTCTCTCCAATTTTTGGAGGACCCAGCCTCCCTTTTTATCCCAATTTCCCAGCCACATTTCCCTTCTCTCTTTCCCCATTTCTAAGGTACTTGAGAGGTTCAGACTTCCCAATACACCTGATACCAAAGATTCCCCCCTAAGGTATAACCCTCCCTTTTAATTCTTATGGAAATTAGGGCTTTTTCTTCCCCATTGTTTCTTTCATCTCACAACGTCTAATTTCGTTTCTCAGCAAACCTTAAGTTTATTTCTAAAGGCAAATCTCTTTTTCCGTTCGTCAATCAGCGGAATCCTTCCCATTGTTTCTTTTATCTCCCAGAGCTGGTTTTATCTGCCAGCAGACCCAGAGTTTGTTTGAAAAGACAAATCTGCCATTCCTCTCATCCCGAACTCCTGCACCTCCCTGCCATCCCTGCCCAGCTCCTGGAGCATCACCCAGAGGGGAAAGGACTCCTTGGGTACCACTCCCATCCCTGTGCATGCAGGAGCATCATCCGGAGGGAAAAGGGCTCCTTGGGTACCACTCCCATCCCTGTGCATGCAGGAGCATCATCCAGAGGGGAAAGGACTCCTTGGGTACCACTCCCATCCCTGTGCATGCAGGAGCATCATCCGGAGGGGAAAGGGCTCCTTGGGCACCACTCCCACCCCTGTGCATCCAGGATCCCGCGGGTTTTGTGCCCCAATCCCTTGGATGCAGGGATGAGGTACCACATCCACCTCATCCCTGCGCACAGCCAGGATTCCTGGACCTAACAGGACCTAACAGGAACCTTCCAGGACCTAACAGGAGCAACAGCCAGAGCCGAGTCCCTGTGGAAGGAATCAGCTGCCGTGCAAAGCCGAGCTGGAACATCCTGATTAGCAAAAGATTGGGCGGGTAATTAACGGGGAGCTGCGGGGCAGCCCCAGCCGGGGGCGGGCAGAGCGTGGCTCAGCGACTGGAAAAAACATTCCCAGAGCCAGCGGAGCGATTCCGCAGCTGCCTGGGGGCCCGGCATCCTCCGGAGCCGCCCTGGTGCCTGCTTGGAGCGTGGCTTGGGAATTAACTCCGCTCCTGATTAACATCTCCCGTTCCGGGTGCCTTGGGGGCCACCTGGCCGCAGGCTTTGCGCTGCTCTCGGCAGCCCCAAGGGACAGGGAGTGGCACTGGGGACATTCCAGACACTCTTGGAGCTGCCCAGAGAAGGAAGAAAGGCAGTTTGTTATCAGGAGCAGGAGAAATGGGCATCTCCCACTTTCTGTAAGGACAAAGAGTGGTCCCTGAACCCCTAAAATGCCCTCACTTCTCTCCCTGAGCCGACATCTCCTCCCCTCCATCCATCCTCCATCCCCCTGACATCCTCCATCCCCTCCATCCATCCATCCATCCATCCATCCATCCATCCATCCATCCATCCACAAAGATCAGTCCCTGAAGCCCCCAAAAATGTCCTCAGTTCTCTCCCTGAACTGACATCTCCTCCCCTCCATCCATCCCCATTCCCAGCCTCCGGGGATGCACGCTGGGAGCAGGAAAAATCCCCCCCAGTGAATGCCACCCCCGCACGGGAGAGATTTCGGTTCTGTTTGTCACAACATGACAAATTCCGGGGAGGAAAATGAGTTTCTAAGTGATTGCTCTGCATTTTGCCTGCTGTTCCCAACAGGGCAGATTCCGAAATCCCAACTGGGGATCCTCTGATGCTGTTTCCTGCAGCACAGGGATGTGACTAAGCCAAAGCAACAGAGCAGAGCAGGATTTGGCCATGGGAGAAGAAGGGATCAGTGATGGAATCTGGGAATTGGGCAGGGATGGGGACTTACTCAGCCGACTTCCAGAAGTGCCCCGGGTGGGAAAGGCGGCGGTTGCGCTTTGGCAGTTTCTCCAGCATGTCCATGAGCTTGGTGAAGGTGGGCCTCTCCTCCTGCTCGTAGGCCCAGCAGAACAGCAGGATGTCCTGGAGCCACGGGGAGAGAGTGTCAGGAAACCCAGGCAGACCCTCTCCCAGTGGGAATTGAGCCAGGCCCACTCCCACCACAACCGTCACCCCCAAAGGAGCCCGTCTCCATCAGCACATCCTTGAGAAGGGCTGGGATGGAAGGGATGTGTCCATCCCATGAGGAGCCATTTCCATCACTAGATTCCTGGGAAGGGCTGGGATGGAGGGAATGTTTCCATCCCATGAGGAGTCATTTCCCTCACTAGATCCTTAGAAAGAGAGGAGGATGGAGGAGACATATCCATCCCATGAGGACCCATCTCCACCACTGGATTCTTGTTAAGGATTGGGATGGAAGGGATGTGTCCATCCCATGAGGACCCATCTCCATCACCACATCCTTGGGAAGGGCTGGGATGGAGGGAATGTTTCCATCCCATGAGGAGTCATTTCCCTCACTAGATTCTTAGAAAGGGAGGAGGATGGAGGAGACATATCCATCCCATGAGGAGCCATTTCCATTACTGGATTCTCAGGAAGGACTGGGATGGGATGGAGAAGACAAATTCATCCTATGAGGACCCATCTCCATCACTACGTCCTTGCAAAGGGCTGGGATGAAGGAGATGAGTCCATCCCATGAGGATCCATCTCCATCAGCACATCCTTGGGAAGGGCTGGGATGGAAGGGATGTGTCTATCCCATGAGGATCCCATTTCCATCACTGTATTCTCATGAAGGGCTGGGACGGAGGAGATAAGTCCATCCCATGAGGACCCATCTCCACCACAGGATTTTTGGGAAAGTCTGGGATGCAGGGGATGTGCCCAGCCCACGAGAACCCATCTCCATCACTGGATCCTTGTGAAGGGTTGAGATGAGGAAATGTGTCCATCCCATAAGGAGCCATTTCCATCACTGGATTCTGGGGAAAGGCTGGGATGGAAGGGATGTGTCCATCCCATGAAGAGCCATCTCCATCACCAGATTCCTTGGGAAGTGCTGGGATGGAGGGAACATATCCATCCCACGAGGATCTGTCTCCATTACTGGGTTCTTGTTAAGGATTGGGATGGACCATCTCCATCATTGGGTTCTTGGGAAGGGCTGGGATGGAAGGGATGTCTCCATCCCATGAGGATCCCATTGCCATCACCAGATTCTTGGGAAAAGTTGGGATGGAGAGAATGTGCCCAACCCATGAGGCTCCCATTTGCATCCCCACATCCCCACAAAAGGCTGGGATGAAGGGGGGTGTCCATCCCACGAGTACCCATCTCCATCCCCTCATCCTTGGGAAGTGCTGGAGCAAAGGGAACATTCAAGCTGAGCTCAGCAGCAGGACCAAGCCTGGCTGGGTGAGATCAGCAGATCCAGAGGGTTTTCCAAGGGCCCCACCAGCCATGTCCCAGTCCATGCACACCCCACAGGGCCCCACCTACCGAGATCTCCTTGCCCATCCCGATCTGGCTGAGGTTGGGCTTCATCCCTCTCCCCACCTGCCAGATGATCGCCTCCGCTGGCTGCGTCTTGAAGGGCCATTCCCGGGCGTGCAGCTCGTACCAGATGGTGCTGTTGGGAGACACTGGGGATCAGAGATGGAGCAGCCAGCAGGGACTCAGGATGGGGTGTGACAGTGGTCACAGGGGTCTCAGGATGAGGGAAGAGATGAGGATCTGACTCTATGTAACAAAAGGCTTGATTTATTTTCTTATGATATATACTATACTAAGAGAATAGAAGAAAGGATTTCATCAGAAGGCTGGCTAAGAATAGAAAAAGAAAGAATGATAACAAAAGCTTCTGTCTCAGACAGAGTCTGAGCCAGCTGACTGTGATTGGCCATTAATTAGAAACAACCACATGAGACCAATCACAGATGCACCTGTTGCATTCCACAGCAGCAGATAATCATTGTTTACATTTTGTTCCTGAGGCCTCCCAGCTTCTCAGGAAGAAAAAATCTTAAAGAAAAGATTTTTCATAAAAGATGCCTGTAACAATGGGGAGATGTCCAGACACTGCACCCACATCCAGCCTCTCTCCCTGCTCCAGAACCATCCAGGAGATTATTCATCCCAGAGGTGCTCCTCGATACAGAGGTGTCACCTCTCCCATTTTCCTGGAGCAAGCCCTGATTCCCACCAGGGGAGATCCCAACCCGTGGGAAGGAGGACAGAGGCTGATGGAGGCCCAGGCAGAGGGATTGTCCCACCTGGATGCAGCAGCTGAAGAGAGGATGGTGGGGATGCAGCTGCCCCTCCAGCAGAATTCCGGGAAGGGACGAGCTTAAGAATTCACTTTCACTCCACCTTTTCCCTTTTTCTCCTCCAAAAAGCTCTCCAAGCTCCAAAAACCCGTGCCATGACCCATCCCAGGTGTCCTCACCAGGTGATGCCCACGTGAAGCCCGGGCCATCTGCTCCTTCTCTCATTGCTAAGCCAAGCCCTCTTTTCCGTGAGGAATCCCAGATCCAAGGGAATATCCCAAAACCAGGGCATCACCGGTGGGCTCCCCTGTGGTTTTCCGCCCCCGCTGCTGCCTGGAAGTTTTGCATCATCATTTTCTGGCACCCGGAGCCTGGATGAGCCTGGATTCCCACAATGCCAGCCCCATTGTCCAAGGCAGATTCCCTGGACCTGCTTTTCCCTCCCTTGTGACCACTAAAAGGATCAAAACCCAGGGTTAAAATGACACCAGGGTGGAAAAAATCTATCTGATAAACGAAATATTCCTCCCGGTTAGGGAAGCTCCCTGATTTTGGGAATTGGAATTCTAATTTTGCACAGTTTGGCTGGAAATCTCAAAAAAAAGTGAATAATGGGAGAATGATGTGGGTGCAGAGGAAGGGGGGGCTTGGGCACAGGACAAAATCCTCAGGGGGGAGCATCCAAGCACCCTCAGATTTGATTTAACACATCCAAGGCATTAATTCAGTTTCTCACTGGGAGATTTTTGTCATCTTTAAAAGAGTTTTTCCTCTTGCTGTCCCTGATACCCAAATCCCTGGAGGGAAGAGACCCCTCAGGATCATCCCTGAGCCTCCCAGGCTTGATGGAGGGCAGCAGAAACAAGAAAGAGGGAAAACGTGGGGAAACCTTTTCATCTTTTCAGGAAACTCACGCTTTCCATTTTTCCCACAACTGAGGGAAAAAAAGGGAAAATTGCGTCTCCCCACCCACTCTCACTTAGTTGGATACGATCCTTTAATTACCTCTTTATTTCTGTGCTGAAGTTGTACCTCAGGGAGGGCACAAAATAAAAGAGCCAGGCCCTTCCAGCTGTAATTACTGCGGGTTTGATGGGAATATTGCCTCGGATAACGGGCCCACGCTCCCTAATCCCACAGCCTTCGAGGTATCCACGAGAAAATTAATCCTCTGGGTAAAGAGGAAAGGGTTTGGGAAAGGTTTAGCGGGGTGGAATTGGGCTCGTGCCCTCAGGGAGGTTTGTGGGCAGAAAAAGGGCAGGAAGAATGAGCTGGTTTGCTGAGGAAAACTTAGGAATTCTCATTTTTCTTGGCTTTTGGCAACTGCTCGTAGAGCTGGCACCACCTCCAGCCCTCTGCAGTGGCTGGAGGGGGACATTGGGGTGTCCAGGGGCTCCAGAGCTGTGCCCCCAACCTTTGGCATCCCCATCCATCATCATCCAAGCACCTTCTCATCAGTTCCCACCCCAGGAGGGTGCAGGGGAGAGATGATGCCAGGCTGGCATTCCCAGGATGTTCTGGATCCCATTGCCTAGAGCCACCAAGGCCATGGCCAAAATAGGAAAATTTGGTAATTTAGAGAGAATTGGGGTGTCCAGCCCCCAGAGCTGTGTCCCCAACCTTTCACATCTCCATCATCCAAGCACCTCACTGGCATCTGCACCAGGAGAGGGATGATGCCAGGCTGGCATTCCCAGGATGTTCTGGATCCCATTCCCTGGAACCACGCTGATCCGTGGCCAAAAGAGGAAGATTTGGTAATTTAGAGAGAATTGGGGAGTCCAGGGGCTCCCAAAGCTGTGCCCCCAACCTTTGGCATCCCATCCATCATCATCCAAGCACCTTCTCATCAGTTCCCACCCCAGGAGGGTGCAGGGGAGAGATGATGCCAGGCTGGCATTCCCAGGATGTTCTGGATCCCATTGCCTGGAACCACCAAGGCCATGGCCAAAATAGGAAAATTTGGTAATTTAGAGAGAATTGGGGTGTCCAGCCCCCAGAGCTGTGTCCCCAGTCTTTGACATCTCATCTCCATCATTCAAGCACCTTCTCACTGGCATCTGCACCAGAGAGGGATGATGCCAGGCTGGCATTCCCAGGATATTCTGGATCCCATTGCCTGGAGCCACCATGGTCGTGGCCAAACCAGGAAGATTTGGTCATTTAGAGAGAATTAGGGTGCCAGGGGCTCCAGAGCTGTGTCCCCAACCTTTCACATCTCCATCCATCATCATCCAAGCACCTTCTCTTTCATACCTGCCCCAGGAGGGTACAGGGGAGAGATGATGCCAGGCTGGCATTCCTGGGATTTTCTGGATCCCATTGCCAAACACCACTCTGGTGCAAAACAGGAGGATTTGGTAATTTAGAGAGAACTGGGCTCTCCAGGGACTCCCAGAGCTGTGTTCCCCTCCCAGGCTGGCATTCTCTGGGTAATGGGATGCTCTGGATCCCATTACCCAGAGCCAGCCTGGTCTAAAACAGGGGGATTTGGTGATTTAGGGATGCTTCCACTCAGAATTTCTCAAAGTTGGAAGGTTCATCCAGCCCAGCAATGGGAATTCCATCCCTTGGATTTGGGACAAACAAAGAGCGTCCTCTTCCCCTCCTGAGCCCAGAGCAGCTCCCACCTGCCCCAACCATGCCAGATCCCTGTCCCAGGACTCACCCCAGTGCAAACACATCCGAGTGCTTGGAGAAGGGCAGCTTGTCCTCCTCGGTGTCGGGCGAGAGCTGCCGGATGATCTCGGGGGCCAGGTGGCACAGCCAGCCGTTCTGGATGCGCAGCTTGTTCTCCCTCCTGTGGGACACGGAGCCGTGGGGACACAGGGCACAGCACCACCAGAGACGCAGCTGCCCACCCTCCTCATGGGAATTTAAACCTGGTTTTACCCTGCTCTGAGAAATGTCCCTGCCAGGCAGCAGGACGAAACTGGGGCACGGGATGGTGGTTCCTGCCAGGGCATGGAGCCAGAGCTATGAGCACACCAGGGCACAACACCACCACACCCCCAGCTTTCCACCTTTTTCCCAAGGTTTTTAAGCCTGGTTTTCCCACCTCATCCTTGCAAAGTCAGGTTTTAACCCTGCTCTGAGAAATGTCCCTGCCAGGCAGCAGGACAAAGTTGGATGGTGGCTCCTGCTGGAACATGGAGCTGGAGCCGTGGGTACCCTGGAGCACAGCACCACCACAGCCCCAGCTGCCCACCCTCCTCACAGGGATTTAAGCCTGGTTTTATCCACACCATCCTTGCAAAGTCAGGTTTTAACCCTGCTTTGAGAAATGTCCCTGTCAGGCAGCAGAACAAAATTGGATGACGGTTCCTGCTGGGACATGGGGCTGGAGCTGTGGATACACCAGGGCACACCACATCCCCAGCTTCCCACCCTCTTCCCAAGGTTTTTAAGCCTGGTTTTCCCCACATCATCTTTGCAAACTCAGGTATTAACCCTGGTCTGAGAAATGTTCCTGCCCAGGCAGCAGGACAATACTGGGTCACAGAATGGTGCTTTAGGGGAACTTTGGCTCTCCCAGGCTGGGGATGGGGATTTAGGGTCTGCTGGGGCTCCTGCTGTGCCCTTTGCACCAAAATCCCTTAAAGGATCCAGGGGTATCCTGGTTTGAAAAGGAAGTGAGTTTTTTGGGAGTTTGGTGGTCAAAAATTGGGGATGAATTCCCCCAGAGGCCCCACCGTGGTTGGAGCAAGAAGCTGGACTGGACGCCACAAAGAGGCTCTTCTGACCAAACCATCCTAAAGTAACAGCCTGGACATTGGTGTTTTCAGCTGTTTGGCCCCAAAACAGCCCCTCCAAGTCCAAGCCTCCAATGTCACCTCCCGTGGGACCAGCCTGGCTTTATAACAACCCCTCATTTCACCTCATCTCTCTGTCCTTCCTCCACCTCCCCAGGCTCTCTCTACTTGGGATAAATCCATTGAAATCCTTTGGCCAACGGCTGAGGATGACATTGGTGAATCCTCCATCCTTTACATCCTCCAGCAGGGATGTATTGGGATACACTGCTGGCTTCAAAATCCCTGGATCATCAGTGGTGGTGACACCTGAGGCAGCTCCATCATGTGTCTGAGCCCAGGTTCAGCAGCAGGAGGGAACAAACCTTTCCCACGTCACCTTGGGCTAGCTCCTGCCAGGAATTTCTCCCTGTTAGTGCTTGGAACCCTCCCAAAGATGGGGATGAACAGGGCTAAGGGATGGCTGTGGGGTCATCTGTCCTCCTGAATGTCAGCCTGGGGCCAAAATCCCACGGGAAACCATCCAGGGATGGGGTCCCACCTCAAAGCTGGCTCATAATCCCAAAATGGCACAATCCAGATCCTCCCACCTGCAAAGCCATCCCCATTCCCAGTGACAGGTCTGGCTGTGACCAGAGGGACCCCTTCCCTAGGGAGGGACACTGCCACTCCTGGGAATCACTGATGAAGCCTCCTGGTCCTCTCTAGGGTGTCCATGGCTCCTCTCCACCCTCCTTGTCCCCTTTGGTGTGTTCATGGCTCCTCTCCATCCTCCTTGTCCCCTCTGGGGTGTCCATGGCTCCTCTCCACCCTCCTTGTCCCCTCTGGGGTGTCCATGGCTCCTCTCCACCCTCCTTGTCCCCACTGAGCCCAAGGACACTTAAGTAAAGGAGGAATAAATCTGATTTCAGCAGGGTGAGACCCCCAAGTCACCAAATCTCTGCAGGAAGTGTTTTAACCCCAGCAAAACCGGCTGAAGAAATGTCACCATCCTTAACCTGACCTCCAAAAATTGGCTTCCTTCCCAACAGATGTTTTTCCAAGCCACTAAGACCCAAAATTGGGATTTATCTCCTGTCTTCGAGACAGGGAGAGACACCAAAACCAGCAAAAACCCACCCTGAAAAGGGGAGGTCAGACCTGCAGACACTTCCTGTTCCAAAATTCATGGTGGCTGTGGATCCCTGCTCTGCTCTCAGCTCCCCTCTAGCAGAAAACATCTGCTACCAGCAGCCCAGGGCACAAATTTTCCCATTTTCTCCATTTTTCCAGCAAAACTCTGCTCATTTCTCTCCAGCCTTGCTTTCCTGGCCATCTCCTGGATTCTGACCTCACAAGGGACATCCCAATCTTGGGCAGAGGTGCCCACACATCAGCCACCTCCTCAGAAACCCCATTTCTCATTCCATCTCTGGAGCATCCCTGACCTTCACAGCAAAGATTCCTGCCAAAGCTTGGGCAGTTTTGCCCAAATCCTCGTTCCCTGCTGGAATGAGCTGTCCCTTCCTCCTGGCAGGCCCTGAATCCCAAACCCCCCACCAGGCTGCCAAACCAGAGGCAAATCCCACTCTGGATCAGGACATCCTGATTTCCTGGCTTTCCAAAGTTTTTGGCCAAGTTTGTGCTGAAATCCGTTGATATTCATCCAGGCAGAGTGGAAAATCTGGGAGTGTGGGATGGAGAGAGGCGGCCACTGCCATTTCCTTTAATTCTTTGAAATCATCACTGGGAAATTGGGGAAAAATCCATCATTTCCAAAGTGCTTTTTATCTCCTGAGCATCTTTGCCATGGAGATGGAAGGACCAGGAGAAAACTGCCCAAGCTTGGGCTGTGCTGTTCCCAACAAAGGGTTTAGAAGGAAATCCAACACAAAGGATTTAGTGGGAAAGGTGGGAAAAATCAGCAATGTTCTTATTCCCCACTTAAAAATGGAAAATATAATTTCTGTTCTTCCTTCTCTGCTTCTGTTTCCTTTTTCCACCCCAGCTTTGCTTTTCTTCCTTTCCACAGCTGCTGGAACGCCTCTCCCTGCCATTCCTACAGCTGGAAAGCCCTCCCAAAGCATCAGGAAAAGAAATTTAATAAGGAACATTTACCAAAACCTTCAGATTTAAACCCTCCGAGACCCCAAAATGTCACAGTGTTGTGAAAATCCCAAGCTTAGCTCTCATTGTCCATGTCCTGCGCCATGCCCAGCACAGACACCGTGGCCAGATGCCTGTGATTCCCAAAATGTCACTGGAGTGGGGACAGCACAGGGATGGCATCACTCAATCCAGGCAGGGGATGGAGCAGATGCCAGGGATTTATAACGATGGAAAGGGAAAAGCCAAGGCATGAACCAGCCCTACTGCCACAGCAGCATCTCCTGGCTGGCTGCAGGGTGGTTTGGCCATGGCAATGATGCATCCCACGGGAAGAGGTTGGTCCAAGGGGAACAATCTGCCTCTCTGAGCCAAAATTCTAGAGGCTCACTCATGGCATCGTGTCCCTCCCTATGGATCAAACCCAACTCCCTTCAAACAGAGCAGCCCCACAAAACTCTAGGGCCTCTTGAGCTCCTGTCTGCTGAGGCTGGGGATGGAAAGAAGCACTTGGAGAGGGATTTTTTGGGATTGTTCCCAGCTTTAGGGCACAGGGAGGAGCTCCAGGGTGTCCATGCCCTCCTACCTGCCTGCCTGGAGAACCCCGGAGATGCTGAAGAGCCCAAAGTCGGTGATCACCACCTTCCCATTGTCGTAGAAGACATTCTTGGACTTGAGATCCTTGTGGAGGATGCCCTTGGCATGCAGGTATCCCATTCCCTGGGGTGGAACAGAGAGAGGAAAACACCCTAAGGTTACACAAACAGCACAAACGGGCGGGATAACGCCGGAGTGGCGGCATTCCCATGGGATCCATGAGCCACCATGGCACAAACAGGTGGCATTCCCATGGGATCCATGAGCCACCATGGCACATCCAGGTGGCATTCCCATGGGATCCATGAACCACCACAGCACAAACAGGTGGCATTCCCGCAGGATCCATGAGCTACCACGGCACATCCAGGTGGCATTCCCGTGGGAACCACGAGCCACCATGGCACATCCAGGTGGCATTCACGCGGGATCCATGAGCCACCACAGCACAAACAGGTGGCATTCCCATGGGATCCATGAGCCACCACAGCACAAAGAGGTGGCATTCCCGCAGGATCCATGAGCCACCACGGCACATCCAGGTGGCATTCCTATGGGATCTATGAGCCACCACGGCACATCCAGGTGGCATTCACGCGGGATCCATGAGCCACCACAGCACAAACAGGTGGCATTCACGCGGGATCCATGAGCAACCATGGCACATCTAGGTGGCATTCATGAGCCACCACGGCACATCCAGGTGGCATTCCCGTGGGATCCATGAGCCACCACGGCACATCCAGGTGGCATTCCCATGGGATTCATGAGCCACCACGGCACATCCAGGTGGCATTCCCATGGGATCCATGAGCCACCACAGCACATCCAGGTGGCATTCCCGTGGGATCCTTGAGCCACCACATCACATTCAGGCTGGACCATGTCCCCAGAGGGCCCTGAAGGAAGGGAAAGTGCCTGGAAGGGATGGGCTCCTGGAGGAGATGAGATTATGGAGTGGGTGTCCCAGCTGCCATGGCGCCTGCTCATTTTCCTGATTAATTGATTCCACAGGAAAAATGAGCAGCAAACCCACCCGGCAGCCGCTTCCCTGGAACCCTCTGCTGGGAAATGGATGGTGATGATGTTTCTGCCTCTGTGTTTTTGGGGGCTGGCAGAGGAGGGTAATAATTCACCGCTCCCCACAGCCCCGCCGGCGCTTCCGACGGCCCCATCCGCCTGGAAACGGGCGCCTCGCGGGAGTCCTGCCTTAATTCCTTCCCCCCAGGAAAAAACTGCTCGGCGGTTAATTAAAATTAGTGCTAATGAGGCACAAAAAGGCCATGGGTGGGAAATCCAAACTCTCCTGTTTAGCCTCTGCAAATCAAGCAGACTGCCGGCAGCTCCGCGTGGCGGATGTTCAGCTCCGCGGGATCATTCTGGGAACGGGGAGGGGGATAAAGCACATTTATCCCAACTTCAGCAGGGATTTTCGTGCTGTCCCACTTTTCACTCTCCTAAGCAGACTCGGGGAAAACTTGATCTGCAGGATGCTGCTGGAGGATCAATGGGCAACAGGCCGGCAAACTGTTGCTTAAGAGGGAATATTGGTTGTCTGGCACTGGAAAAAGGGGGATTTATTAACTGGAATTCCATGGGGATCCATCCATCCTGAGTCTCATCTTTTCATCTATCATCATTAAGCATGCAGGCTGTGCGAGATGAATTTATTTTTAAGCTGGCGGCTGATGTGGAGCCAGAAGCCCAATCCAAATTCCACCATCTGGAAAAAGTGGGAAAACAAACAGAAAAACACCCCAACCCAGCAAGATATGGGAGTTTCACTGCACCCTGTGGGGAGAAAATCCTACAGAGCTTCTGCCAAGGGATGCTGGAGGAAGGAAAGGATTTGGGGCTGGACGCCAGGACCGTTCCAGGCACCGGGATTAATTAGGGGTCTCCATTTCCCAGCACATGAAATAACAATGAGGTTTAAAAAAATCGGCTTTCAAATGTCACTGTCACCTCCAGAAAGTGCCAGGGTGGAGCAAGGAGCAGCATTCCAATGTTTGCCCGGCCAGGTGCAGTGCATGGATGAGCCCCAGTGCCACGGGAATGCTCTGCAGCCCCTTTCCATTGTTTGAGGGTGATGGGACCCCAGAGCAGCACCAGGACCTCACTCCCATATCCATGGAGCTCATCCCCATGGAATCACCAAACACAGCCCGGCCTTTGCTGGAGGAATTTCTCCGGGCAAACCCCAATCCCTCACCTCGCTCCGTGCAGATCCCACTGCAAATTGCAGCCCTGCCACCTCAGCCCCTGGGATGATCCCTGAGGAAACGCTCTGGGGCCAGGAATGCCTTCATGTGCTGGGCTGTGTGAAAAGCCAGCTCCCTCTGCCGGCACTGCTCCCGGGAGGAATCTTCCTCCCTCTGTCGGGATCAGTCATCCTCCCCCTCCTGAGGATCTCAGGATAACCTTGCACCCACTGATCCAAGGAGCTGAGCAGCTCTCCCATCACATTCCAGGACTCAAAGGATAAAACCAAACAGCTGCTGTGACTGTGCAGAAAATCCAAAGCCTCCAGAAAATGCAGCTCCATCCAAGGCCACCCCAAACAAAGTGTTGGGATTTCCCTTCCTGACACCCACCACTTCCAAATCCCTCAAAATATCTGCTGGGGAAAGGTGGGAAGGGTGGGAATCTGCTGCTCCTCAGCAGGAATGGGCCATGGGGCTGGGTCATGGCATTGGGGACTTCTCCAGGAATTCCCTTTGGTGCACAGGGAGAGCATTTGGAGCTCTGCTAATTTCTCCAGGGATCTGGGGTGGATACAAAACCTCTCTGCCTCTCAACACCACAGGCTTGGAGGTTTCCAACCTGCTCCCAACAGGCAGCAGCTGCAGAAAACAAGGATGTCTCAGCCTCATCCTCGAAACCCACACGGAGCAGCGAACCCACGCAGGGAAAGGGGCTGAACAGAGCTGCTGTTCCTGCTGGGAACATCTGGAAGGCAAAAGACCTGAGCACACAAAAGGGGGGGAAAATACAAGGCTAGACTGTGATGCTTCAAATGTTTGCTCAGCAGGAAAAAATCTGTGTCTAAAAGGTGGAAAACGTGGATCAGAAGTAGGAATTCAGGAGGGAGAGACTCTGGGCTGCCTCAGGCACCTCCAGCTCAGGCCATGGCTCTGAGGTAGATAAAGATGCAAGTTGTGCTCATCTGGAGAGTCCAGGAGGATTGAAGGAATTTAAAATTTAAAGTTAAAACTGAATCTAAATAAACACAAAATAAACAATTTATTAAGGACCATCCAGAGAAAAGGCACTGCCCAGGAAATATTGTTGAACACATTCAGCTTTTAACCTGGGTTAGAATATTTAAGGGGGGCTAAGGTCTGCCAGAAAACCTGATTATCTGCTGTTTTCCCACCGTTACATGTGGGATCAGCTCCAGGTTTGGGCTCCAGGGTGGGAAGTGTTGGCTGACCTTGAGCAGGGCACGGGGGCACTGTCACAGCTCCCATGCCAGAGCACGTGCCAAATATTCCTGGTGATAAATCTGTTTGGAATCACAGCACAACCCCGTTCTGGCAGGCAGCTCAACACCTCAGTGCTGCTGCTGACATCCCATGGGAAGCTGTGAGGGCTCAGGACCCGAATTCCCAGCCATTCCACCCTGCCACGGGAGGATCCTGCATAGGATTGTTTGTAGGGACACGTCTGAGGTGTGGAAGACGCACTTGGAGTCATCCCTGGGAAATGAAAAGCGTGTTTAGCTCTGGAAAATGTATGTGAGTTTGGCCTTGTGACACTATGGCATGGATTTCTCCAGGAACCTCGGCCCTGGGAATGTTTTGTGGGAATACTGGGAATGCTGGAAGTGTCCAAGGCCAGATTGGATGGGGCTTGGAGCAACCTGGGATAGTGGAAGGTGTCCCTGCCCATGGTAAGGGGAGGAATGGGATGAACTTTAAGCTCCCTTCCAACACAAACCATTCTTGTATTCCATGATTATTACATTTTTTTTCCAAGAGGAAAGGAATACCCCACCAGGAACTCCCCCAGAGCAGCAATGCTGGATTTAAACACCTGAAATTCCAGCAGGGAAGAGGAGCAGCAGCCAGAATGAGCCCCAAGCACAGGGAGCCCATGGAAGCTTTGGTGCCACTCCAATTCAGCCACAGGAGATAGGTCAAAGACACCTGGATTCTAAAACCAAGGAGTTCTGTCCTGCCCAGAATCCTTGGATTTTAAAGCCAAGGAGTTCTGTCCTGCCCAGAATCACTGGATTTTAAAACCAGAATCCTTGGCTGCTCCTCCCCTGCTCCCCAGAATGACTGGACTGGGCTCCTGGCTGGGTTTTCTGCAGAATCCAGACCCCACCAGATCATACCTTCACAATTTCTTGTGCTATCTGCCTCGTCTTGTTGACATCCAGGACAATTTTGGCGTCCCTCACCACGGAGTAGAGAGTCCGTCCTTTACACAGGCTGGAAGAAAAGGGAAAGAGAAGTTACAAGCCCTCCTGGAGAAACAGCCCCAAATCATAAATAATTAAATAAATAATCACAGGATTTGGGGCACATTTTGGGCCCCTGGCTGGAGGCAGGTTGAGGATTCTGCAGGGAACTGGGGGCTCTCCCAGTTTGGCACTGGGAGGGAGCTCTCAGCGCTCCTGGTTCATCCTGGTGGCACCACTGTGGTGGCACAAAGGACAACCTGGGCTGGCCCCTGGCTTTTGCCTGTGTCCCAGACCAGAGCAAACCCCCTGGTCCTCCCACCTCTGAGTTTTTGTGCAGAACTGGCCGTGGCTCCCCCTTCCTCCTCCTCCTCCTCCTCCTCCTCCTCCCATGGGATCCAAAGCTCACAGATGTAAAATGAGTCAAAAGAGGAAAGACAGGGAGGGGGGAAAAAAATCCCCCAACCCAACCCCATGCACTGTACAATGTCCTCCAATTTTCCTTCTCGTACCAATTACAGTAAAATCTATTTACAGAGCCTTAATTACCAAAGGCAGCTGGATGGGGGGGGAAGGGGGGGGATGGATATAAACCAATTAAAAATATATTGACATTTGAATATCATAATGGAGGACGTGGGTGGCTGCTGCCTCGACTCCCGCCCACAAAAAAAAGAGCTTTTTTTTTTGCTTTTCTCTATCCACCCACGCTCATTCCAGGCAACTTTGGAAAGATGAGACTGGATACCTGTGCCTGGGAAATGAAACACCCGGCACACAGCTTGTTAAAGAGGTTTGGTGGCTGCAGATGTTGATTTGATTCTGTTCTGGTTAACAAATTTAAAGTTCTTGGGTTTCATTCCACTGCTCTCCCCCAGCTCGCCTCCACTGCTTTCCCTTCTTCCAGTTCCTCCTGCCCTGGGAATTCCAGCATGCACTTGTTTGGATTCAACCCCTGGGAGAGGTTTTGTCCTTTTTGGGTGAAAATAATCACAGAATCATAAAAGAGAATCACAGGATGGTTTGGGTTGGAAGGGACTTGAGGGACCATATAATTCCAGCCCTCTGCCATGGGCAGGGACACCTTGGATGGGGCTTGGAGCAAACTGGGATAAAGAAAGTGTCCCTGCCCATGGCACAGGGTGGAATGGGATGAGCTTTAAGGTCCCTTCCCACCCAAACCCATCCATGAGTCCATGAAACCCAGAAGAACCCCCAAACTCCAGAAGCTCACGGATACAAAAGATCCTCCTGCTCCACATCGCTCCATGGGCAGGGAGCAGAATTTTCAGAACAAGCAGTGAAACAGAAATGGAATCAATTCCCACATCGCATGGGTTTTGGAAAGACAACAGCACCCTTTCCTGACTGGAAGCATTAGGAATTGTCCTGCTGGGCACAAGTGAGCTGCACTGGGGATTTAGGGCATCAAATGCTTCCTCAGGGATGGTTTTCCTTGCTCAGGTGTCCCAGCACCTCCCTGAGCATCCCAGCTGGATTTATCCCCGAGGCAGCTGCACTCCCTCTGAACCATCTTCCCATCTCCTGCAGCACTTGGACTGCAGTCAAATAAGAATTTGCTGGAGATTAGGATCCAGGCATTTGGAAATCAGTGATAAAATCCTCGGGTTTCTGTAACCGGAACGAATCAAAGTGTGCAGGATAACTACGGGCATGAATTGTCCTTCCACCGCCTGTGTTTTCCTACACTAATTTGACAGATAAACCCACCAAGCTGTAAGCTCTGCCACACAACAGCCTTCTGCCACCTCCATGACCTGCCTGCACACACTGGAGTTTTCCCAGCCCTTCCCAACCCCTGGAAAACACATTTTCTCCCAGAGAAAACCTTTTTTACAGCCAGTTGTCTGTGATCTGAATTGGTCACAAATTGACACTGGAAATACAATGAGTGGATTAGCACTGGAACGGGGCTGGATTCCAGCCCTACAGCGAGTTAAGATCAGCTGTTTTCCTGGTAAAGGGTTGTTTAGAGGAAAATCCTCCCATTTCTGCTTATCTGAACTGCTGAGATAACCCCGAGAGCGGAGCTTGCAGCCCTTTCTGGTGAGATTCCCATCTTTCCACTTCATTTACAGGATTTCCAAATCCTCCCCAGCGGATGGAGCCACTGCAGGGGGACAGCCAGACCTGGGCTGGTGGCACCAGGACATGTCCCTGCCACCTCTGCTCCTCAGACCCTGGCAGAGCCATCAAAGCAGCCCAGGTGCTTCTCCCCTCCCCTGGATGAATAAATCCGAATGAATTCACCGAGCGCCCGCCACCGGCACATCCGACGCTTCTTGCTGGATAAGGAGCTGCCAACGTGGAGATAAAGCCTGGTTGATACCTTTTATGCAGCACCTGAGCCCATTCAGCCACCACCTGCAGAACCTTTTCATGGCACAGCTCCACAATTCCGCTTCTCCTCGTTCCTCAATTGCTCCCCATTCGGGCAGGACAAAGAGCGGCGCCCGGGGCACGCTCGGAGCCTTCTGCCTTTCCACTTGGAGAGGTCCCTGCTGAGCCTGGCTTTGAGGGACACGGCTGGGGATGACAAGGCCACAAAATGCCTACGCTCGACGCCAAAAACAAGGCAGCTAATTTGCATCTTCAGATGGATCCTGGGTTATTCAATGCTGAAGTGAAAACTCATAAGAAATTCTCGTCTCCTTCTCCCAAACTTCTCCGTCCCACCTGGTGGCAGAGCAGGTTGATGGCACGTGCCCCAGTGCCATGAGGTGACCAAACAGCATCCAGAGCTGAGGGGTGGCTGGGACAGAGATGCAGAGATCCTTCTGAGAATCCTCAGGAGTGCACCTCATCCCATGGCACATCCATATCCACGTCCCGGTGCCTTTCCCGGCATCAGGGCAGGCCCAGCCCCATCCTGCTGCAGATGTCACTCTCAATTCAAAATGAGTTTTTGAAGTGTTCAGCCAAGCAAGCCAAATCCCAAATTGCTTTATAAACATTCTGCATTCCCATCGTGGGCTGGAGACATCAGCAGCGGGAGCAAAGCCAAGGCGGCTCGCAGAGGAACAATTTGGGATGAGGGAGGAAGAGCTGGAGCGCTGCCTCTGGGTGTTTGTGCTGTTCCATGGGAAAACAGCCTCATCCCTCTTCCATCCCTTGGGGTTTTTTACCCCTCTCTGCAATATTGATGGTCATCAGCTCTGCACTGGTGGCCAGCACCTCTGCATTGGTGGTCATTGTCTCTACATTGATGGCCATTACTCCTACACTGGTGGCCAACTGGTGACAATAACCTCTACACTGATGGTCATCATGTCTCCACTGATGGCATCACCTTTACATTGACGGCCACCACCTCTATACTGATGGTCAATGTCCCTACACTGGTGGCCAACACCCCTGCATTGGGGGCCATTGTCTTTACATTGATGGCCATTACTCCTACACTGGTGGCCAACACCTCTGCTTTGATGGCCACCACCTCTACACTGGTGGCAATCACGTCTACACTGGTGGTCTTCAAGTCTACACTGGCGGCCATCACCTCTGTACTGATGGTCATTGTCTCTACACTGGTGGCCATTGCCTCTACCTTGATGACCACCATCTCTGTCCTGGTGACCATCACCTATACAGTGATGGTCGTCACCTCTACATTGATGGCCATCACCTCTACACTGATGATCATCACCTCTACCTTGATGGCCACCACCTCTACAGCGATAGTCATCACCTCTACATTCATGGCAATCAATAAGTCAATGGCCAACACCTTTCTGTTGATGGCCAACACCTTTACACTGATGGTCATCACCTCTACACTGACGGCCACCACCTCTGCTCTGGTGGCCATAATGCTACATTCATGGCCAACACCTCTGCAAGGATGGAGGTTCCATCCTGTCCCCTGCTCAGGAGCAGGGATCATCCTGAGCCAAGAGTTGTGGGGCACATTCCATCACTCCAGGAGCTTTGTGCTTCCCTTCCCTCTTCCCATCCCCATAAATGCCCATTCAATTAAAGAAGTGATAAATGCCAGACCCGGGGAAGTTCATGCTGGGATATGGATTTATAGGGAAGCAGCTCGGATACCATGGAGACAGCCAGCACTATAGACCCAGGGGAGACACCGGAGAAGAGAGCGAGGTGGGGAATTAATAAAAAATGCTTTAATATAAAAATACCTCTGCTCCCAGGTTACATCTGTGCTGGAAGAAAAGACACAGCAAAGGATGCTTGGATGCTCCCACATTCCCCAGCAGTTTACCCACTTTGAGGTTTTCATGGAAAAAGGATCCTTTGGGGAATGTTAAGAAAGAAACAGCAACAGGAACCACTGAGCCAGGACTTATTTGATTTCATTTGAGCAGGACCAGAGAGGGAAAGAAGGAGCTCTGCACATTCCAGCACGTTCCTGACTTATTTAGGAAGTTTTCCAGCTGCTCCCATATATTGGCTTGTTTTTCTCTTTTCCCGGCGTCTAGCAACAGTTATTTTGGAACTCAACAGCTCCTGAGGTGTTTCACACAAAGGAAAATTGAACAAGGCTGTAAGAACAGCAATGGGAGAGCTTTAGGTTCATTTTTATCCCGAGGTTTTGTTTTCCTCTAAATGGATAAGGAATTTCACCCCCTTGATTCTCTGCCAATGCCAGAGCCAGCAGTGGCAGCATCCAGGCTGAAATTCCTCAGCCCTCTACATCCAAACTTCACAACCATGACCAGGGAGGAAAAATTAGGATATGAGGGAAAATTTCTTCACTGAAAGGGTTGTCAAGCCCTGGCACATCCCTGGAGTCCCCATCTCTGGAGGATTTAACAGCTCCGTGTGGATGTGGCACCTGGCGACACGGATCAGTAGTGGCCTTGGCAGTGCTGGGGGAATGCTTGGAATTGATGATCTTAAGGATCTTTTCCAATCCAAACAATTCTGTGCTTTAACAGAAGCAGCAGCCAAAACTCAGTGCCAGAAAAGGCGTGACCTGAGCATCCAGCAGATCCCAGCCCCTCCAGGCTGGAAATACTCATCTCACCCAATCCCATTCCAACTGAACCC